ATGCTGTTCAGCCACACAAAAGCAATGCCAGTTTTTTGTACTAATAAGGTTTAAGATATGAGGCCCTCACTACCTCTTAAGCACAATGAAATGAATATCCCCTTCATTTTTTTCAAAGAAAGGACCACTCTAGTTTCAGAGATACTGTGCAATTATGAAAGACAGCAGCCAGCAAAACTCAAATCCCTAATGCCAGTTCTAACGCTGGGGTTAGAAAACACTGAACTGTGCTGCAGCGACAGATCTATTCAGACAGAATACAAGTGAGACAAAATCAGTGTTATCCCCTCCCCACCGTGCCGCAGCGCGCAAGTGTGGTCTGGAGTCCGGCTGTCTTTGGCCAGACCGTGCGAATTATTGTTTGTGCTGGAGTCCTCAATCACCCCTGCTGTGCCTGGTGACTAACTCTCATTACTTCCATTGCGCCTTTTTCGACCGCCTATCACAGGAGCTCTGACTCATTCGCCCTCGCAGGTGAGTGTGTGGTGTCGATCCCGTCTAATTACCAATTGTAACAGGCAACTCAACACCCCCGTCATTCAGAGTCTCCAACTGACTCCTGCTAATACAATCCACATGCTTAACCTTTCTTTCAAATTAGCACACAGATAAGCTTTAATAAGACTGCACAATCTCATCAGGGCTGTTCTGCGCTGTGTCAACTCAAATGACCAGCTCTCTTAGTGAACTTAGGTTTACCCAGTTTACTGGGGGTGGGGGGGAAGAGTATCATTTAGGTTTCAGATCTTGGGGAGACCTTGCTTTGCCCTCTTTTGTTTACCACCATCTTGATCGGTGTTCCTTCAATTTGTATTACTGTTATCAGAAATATTAGCTGAGGTAGCATCATTAACAGTAATAACAATGGTCACAATGGATTGGAAAATCTTCAGATACTGATTATATCATTCCTGTTTATAAGTGGAATGACGCTACAAATTCAGAGAAAATAAACAATGAACTAATTCATTACATCATGCCATTTTTTCCCTGAACTTGGGCCATACACCAGAAACTGGCCAACTGCAGACAGGATCTCTGTACAGCAGTTCTTTGTTCCCCAACATATCAAGTGTTTCCCAAAAAACTCAGTAGATGGTAGCAGCAGCTATTCACAAGCACATAAACAGCAGAAAACTGAGTGCAAACAATGTTCTAAGAACATAAACTCAACATTTGTCACCACACAGCTGTGACATCTCCGGTTTAGCTTTGAAAACAAACGTCATATTGTCAGATTGGTACAGTTTGGTGATCCGTTTAAGTAGAGGGTTCACGGTATTCTTATTGGTCTTATGAGGTTAAGCTGTTTGTACACTTTTCCTATTTCTTATCATTCCATGCCACTGACTGCTTTTAAAGTTGCATTACTTATTACTAGCTCCCTTACCAACACAACTGTTGAACAAATTTATTACTGAGAAATGTTTAAATTATTTATCTTTACTGGAAGATTCAGAGAAAACCAGTGTTTCCAGAAGAGGGGTGAGATTATTTGGACAATGGTAGCTGTACGTTGACCTATTATAATGCTTCTCTGAGAACATTGTCTGCTGTTTGAATCAGTTGAAAGTCTGGTGCTCAACCTGACTCGTAATTGTGACTGTATACAAGTCACCAAAGCAGAATTCTGTACAACTGGAAAGTATCAGTCACTTTTGTTTTTCAGTGTATGGATTTATGAGGGTTTTAATGCAAGGAGATTTTAATATTCACGTTGTGGCTCTACATTCTTCTTTTCTGGATGGAAATTTGTACTCTCCTGGATTTTGCAACGTTTTAATCAGCTTGAAAAATCACTCTTGAAAAAGAATACATATTTGACCTTGTTATCACCTGTGACATGCCAGTCTTAAGCCACAATATTATTGAATAGCACTTCCTTGATCAGTTATTGCTTTTTTTTCTACCTGGAGGTTCCAGCATATACTGTATATATAACCCTAAGTGTATGATTATGTTTTTCATCGGTTGTAGAGATTTTAGTTTTTTCAAACCATTTTATGTTTTCCAGTCAGCTGCTATTAAACAACATAGGATTAAGAACTTCATTATGCTTTACAATTCCACCTGGTAATTTAGAATTTAGTTTAGTTCTGGAAAAATACTAGAGAAGTTTCAGATATACAGCTACTGTATGTCACATACTGTATATACTGTATGTTACTGTATATGGAAACTATGTTTGCAGTGTTCTGCTGCTCCAAGGTTGTGGACCAATCTCCGAACCTAAATTAAAAGTAAATCTCCCAAATCAGTCAGCACATTCAAATCCTATCTAAAAACACACTTTGTTCTTGACTTTTAAAAACCTTGTATTGTGTATACCTGTCTCTGTCTTGAGCTGATGAATCATGAGAGGTGTTAAAAACACAACCAAGTTTTATACAGCCACCACCAAAATTACACCCAAGGTTTCAGGTTGATGCTGGGAGTGTCACACAGCTGTAATCTTTTGCCATTCCTTGTTTTCTTTTCGATGTTCTGACCGGCGAAACGAGCAACAGGAAATGGAAAATGTGGCATACAGGGAACGATGACATCAATGCTAGAAAACCTACATTAGCCTCATCATATTACGTGTCTTTCCAGGTGACACAAGACATTCAAAGACAGTGATTGTGACAGAAGAAGCAAGCATTGTCACTGTCAACATTGAGAAGACAAACCTTAATGAGGCTCATTTTCCAGGGACAACCAACCGTTTACAGTGAACAACAAACCACTGCAAGAGGTGGGAGCACTCACCTTTTCAGCAGCAAGGAGTCAACAGGTGGTGACTGCGGGAGGAAGGTGAAAATGTGAATCAGCAAAACAAACCAGGCCTATGCCTTCAAACTACCTGGAGGCAAACAAACCGAGTTAAGAGTCTTCAAAAGTAACAACCTCACTGTGCAGCTGTATTCCTCTGATTGCTGGGTAACAACAGCTTCCATTGCCAAAAGGTCGGAAACATCCTAAACCAAATTCCAAACAGCATGGAAAACATGAATTATTTGGCCCTTAAAGAAGAATCCATACATAGAGTGCAAATATGGCACTGCAGATCAGTTCAGGCCGTTAAAGATCACTGGGGCGTGTATAGAATCCCATCCAATGGAATACGGAAGCTAGCCCACTGATGGGCACAGCAGGGCAAGAAAAAGAAGCACACCAAAGAAAGATCTCAAAAGCATTGGCCTGACTTTGGAAAACAGCGCCAAGGGAGGTGGCTAAACAGCAACTGTAGAACTTCCTTAATGTTACTTCGGACATCACAAGCACAGAGAGGATGGACTGAATAGGCTAAAGAACTAAATCGCTTTAGACATGAACAGAGAAGAGCACAACAGACCCTGACTCCAAAGACAGTGACATATTCAACCCAAGTTCCACAATCAATGAACATGAGCCAGAGGATAAAAACAGAAACTAAGGGAAAGTGCTAATGAAACTACTTCACACAAAGGATTGTGGGAGTCTTAGACAAGCTAGTCGGCCATGATGTTGAAGGCAGTACCCTGGGTTCTTTCAAGAAACTGAATCAGCTGAATCAAACCTTCAGATAAATTACAAAACACAAAGTAGATGGGCTAATCAGCCCCCTTTTGTTGGCATGATTTCCTGCATTAGTCTTTATGTTCTTGTATAATTCGTAAACCATGTAACACTACATTGTGTATTCAATAATAAAAAAAGAAATAAAAATATAAACAAAAAAATTAAAGCAACAATAGGAATAATACAAAACAACGTTATGGTTTCATTTCTTTTTGTAACGTAAACAAACTAAAAGTGTAACACAAACTTTCTGGCGTGTATAAACATGGGTTTTCTTCTTTATGCCTATGGTTTTCGTGCTTTGCTTCCTCAAAGGGACCGGAAAAGCTACAGGTCAAAAGTATCTGAACCAAATTATTTGAGAAATATATACATGCAAATTTTATAGTTGGTACTTTTGTCAATGCTGAACACCTAAGTAAGTTTTACAGTCCTGGATGTTCCTGTAGTCTCCATATCTGATGATCCCTGGGACACTGAGCTGTTATTCCACTTTCAGCAGACCAAAGCGCTGATATTTATGTAAAGGGATCTTATATACCTGTAAACACAGCTATAATGGATCCATTAACTATCAGAAAACTACTCATCTCTGCTAAATATCACAGTAATGGGAAACCTACCCTGAAAGCACAGGGTGCAATATGGAACTGTATGCTGGATGGGACTCCAGGAGACATGCATGCAAAAGGCAATGCAGAGACATCAGTTACTATAGCCAGCATTTCCTTGAAAGGTGGGAGGAAACTAGATACCTGGGAAAACCCTTATGAAAACGAGAAAAACATGTACAGTAAACTCCACACACAAGACATCTTAGTTTGACATCAAACCTTGGACCTGAGAGCTGTGAGGCAGCAGACCTAATTTCATACTACCTGTCACAAAATATAGCATTTGTTTTAATAATACAATGTAAGACTGAAAAGGCCATAACATCCAACAAAATAAGTTCTAGAAATGTGCAATAAGGCCGCTAAGTTAGTGTAACTACAGTAGAAAACACGGCACACAATCTAGTACTACTGAAGGTACAGTATGGAATAAAAATGCAAGAGCAGAAGTCATGACTGCTGTGTGAGTAACTTCACCTTCCAAAGCATAGTGAGGGAAAGGGAGGAGGAAATAAAGAAGGAACAGTCAAATTCAGAGGATAAGGCTTTGACAGACGTATTCTGAAAGACAACATAATATCAGCGTCCTGTAACATAAACCCATTTTCCCTCGGTTAAGATCAGTAGTGTCCAAGACCTCGTATTTGTATTCTTTTTACTGTGGATCCTCTAAATAAAGTGCACTGCAGTAGTTCCAGAAAATGGCTTCAATATCCCTGCTGCTGCCACCTTTTCTCTGAGAGGAAGACTGCGCTCTGTTCCAGTGGAGACCCAAGACACAGTGTGCCACAACTGCAGCACACACTTGCACAACTCTTACATCAGCCCTCTTTTGAGGGAGCCTACCTGTGTATATTTCGGCCTCCATAGGATCCTCTACCCTCTTGTGCTGGATGATGTAGTCTGAGATCTTGCATCCAATCACTGGCTCGATGTCCACCCATTCCAGAGCCACCATCGTGCTGGAGGGCTCCAGACTGGCAGCAAGACGAAGCCTGAAGAGCAATTGAAAACAACCACTGGCTTTACCTTCCAAGCCGAGGAAGACTTAACATGCCACATACATCTAGGTGACATCTTGTGCATGCTTTACCTTAAAAGACAGAGTTTGGCATCCATTATCAGAAAGCCACATATCCTGCAGAGGTTCATAGCAAAAGGTTGTCCTGGAAACATAACGCACATTGTGTGTGTGACATTGTTCTCCCTCTGGATTGGAGACCAGTCCATCCCAAGACCACAGAGTAAGAGATAACTTATAATAACCAGTCACACCTTACCACCACATCTCAAGGAAACATTTTGTGTGTTTTACTATTATTTTAAAAGCAAAGAGAAGACAAATCTGTGTTACAAAAAACAGATAATGCTTCAGAGTCAGTTTTTTTTCTTTGACACCTTGAAGGACAGTGCCCAAGTCCAATGATGCAGTGTGAAAAATGCAGTGCTTAATAAGCACCTATTTGAATTCTTCTGATTCATAGCACAGATGGCTTTTGATATCCATTTTTATTAGATTCCATTATTGTGACATAAATACATGGAGAAATTGAGAGTTGTGGATGCTTTCACTATCTTTGTTTATACAAACTGACTTTTATTATGGTGTGACAAGCAACGGGGAGCATTTAATAAAGAACATTTAATAATAAAATGTTATTTAATGAACACCTAAATAAAATAATAGTTAAAATGCTCTACTCTTCCTTTGCTTAGGCATACCTAAGCTATCACACTTCAACATAGACACATGCATAATAAAATTATATCTGTCAGTGTGGTACACATTTCAGATTTGCAGTCTGTGCAAGGGTAATAAGCAGTTCTCAAATGTCTTTGTATAATTCTTTTTCCATAATGGCTTTGTCAATGACCATGTATATGATGTCTTACTGACTCAGATCACTTCTGTCATGTTTTTAAAATAATTTTGCGAAGTGGATGGTTATTACAGGGTACGCCTTGACAACCATGGACCACGTTCAAGCTGGTATAAGAAAACACTGCATCAAACTAACTACTGAGTCATAGGACAAAAACAGCCAAGCAAAGTATCCATACCAAATCCAATGTGCATCAACGACTGATACACTAAACATAAGCCCAGGACCTGCCTCAGCTAACATATGCTGAAACCCTATAGAGTTACAATGGGGTTTGCTGTGAATATCATGTGACTCATTTTCCTGGAGAGTTGGACCAGATGTCAGTTCAGGTTTGAGACCAGCGTGAAGGAAACGACTCTATGTCATCCTCCAGCTCCCGCTGCTGAGAGCGGCAAACTCTCCAGAAAGGGGTGAATCAAGTGGCATCTCCTTAAAAATATTTTCAGCAGTGCAGCATGATGCTTTTCATAACCCTCAGTGAACTAAGGAATCTCACCGGCGTTCAGGAGAGCAAAGTTGCGTTTTCCTTAGAGAGGTTTAGAACGAATCCAATCACATGGACTGAAGGATGAAACTGAATAAACTGGCAATGTATTTTAATTTCCAATTTTAAAATTTTCAAGCTTTGGGGGCATACTGTATATCCACAGTATTTATTACTGAAATATGTTAATACTCCATGTTGTTTTGGTAGGGGCTTCCCACACTTCACATCGTTCTTCACAAACGTCTTAATAGTTTACACTCATTTCACTTCACTTTACTGCACCATACTCTGCTTTTACCATGGCATACCGCAATAAAGTCTCTCAAGGGATGTGCTGTGTACATACACAGGCTGGAGCAGTGAGCTGCAGTTGGGTAGCCCATCTTTGCTGAAGGCACTCAGGTCACAGCGACACCAGTTCTCAATGACATCTCCCTTCCCTGCACACCAGTAGGAGCTCATTGTGGCACTTTTGAAAGCCTGCGGACAGAAAAGGTGAGATAATAGATAATGACCCCCTGTGGATAACCCCTCAGCTCCTCACCATCATCTCCTTAACTAATCAGGATTTCTAGAATTACATCCGAGGAAACTGTTTTTTTTAATGCACTGACTGAATGTCTCAGAACTGATGAAAGGTCTCTTGCATATTCCACGTCGGTTTATCGGATATAGTACAATTTCTTAAAGTGGACATTTCCCCGTACAGGACAGGTGTAAGTTTAATTACAATGTGTCCATTCGGAAAAAAAACTAGGAAAATGTAGTGCTCACATTTATAAAAGTCTGCTTACTGTACTTTCTTTTTTCAACATAAAATCCCCACAGTAAGAAAAGTTTGATACCATTATAGAAATTGCCCCGGGTATACATATTTGTGTTTGTGTGTGCTCTGCGATTTGTCTCATCCAAGGTGTATTCTGATTTGTACCTGTTGCTTGTCTGATAGGCTCCTGTTCCCCTGCAACCGTGAATTGGATAAACCGGTTAGAAAATGGATGATACCATGCACAGTAAGTATTTCAGATTCAACCTAATCGCATCCCCATGGGACCAGTTTTGTTCTCAGCTGAAAATATTTCTGAATTTATCACTGTTGTCAGGAGTCCAATCTGTTTATTGAACATACTGTACTGTATTACTTCACCTTTTATGACACTTTCTTTTAGTACTGTATATCAGCAACAACAAATCCAAACAATCTATCACCTTTTGGCATCTTGTTATAAAAACATTACTGTCCTTATAATAGGAAAAGGCAGACATTTGATCAGAGAGGTTTTGAGGCAGCTGGATATTTTACTTTTCTTTTCTCAACATGCATTGATATGAATAATAGTGGTATTAATCAGTCATACTAAAATTAGCTACAGCTGAAGATTCATTTAAGGGTATTGCAGCAAGGGTATACTTGCTATTTTATAAGAGACTTTTTAAGTGGGGATTGTTGGGGGAAACAGTAGTGTGGAGATTTCCAGTGCTGTCTAAAAGTTCCAGGGTCCTGATTTCAGGCTCAGGTACCCATACAGTATGTGTAAAGGTTGCATGTTCTCTACTGGTTTGCCTGGTGCTCAGGTTTGCCCCCACAGACCTGTGAGTCTTCATTTTCTTACCATGAGCAGAGTGGCAGCAGTGTCTCTCTACCCTGCACCTTTTCCAAAGGGTATGACAATATGCAAAGGAAATTTATGAAGTCTGTAATACTGCAGCATTCAGCTCATTGTAATTTTTTTGTTAATGTTTGTGATTTTGTATTAGGATCAAGTCATTAAAATGTGATGTGAACAGTTTCGGTCTTGTATTTTTACATTCAAGTGGCCTGAATAGTATCGAAACCATGCAACATATCTGGATGCAATATTGACCTTTTCATATAAAGTAAAAGAAACAGCTTTCCAGAGGATATAACCATTACAGAATGCAAATATGTCCATTTGCCATCCATGAATGTTTTCCCATTAGGTCAATTACAACCTAATCATCTGCTAAGAGAATGCACGTGAAAGTTCAATCAGAGCTGCTGCAATGAAAAGCCAGAGTTGGGTAACCTCAGCTCTGACTCACACTGAGTCCGGAGTAGTTTTGATCTCTCCCTCCCAGCTCCACGGGGAAACACTCAAAGAGCAAGCAGATGACAACACAAAACACAGGGCAACCATTGACAAGCACCAGAGACCAATTTGAAACAATCATCCTGTGCAGTAGAGGCCTGCACACTATAAACCAGGCAGCTTGTGCTCCTTTTAACCTCTTCAACAAGTAATATATTCGGTTATAGAGCACAGTTGCATGTCTTCATTGTGTCAGAAGTTTTTCTCATTGTGTTTTTGGCTTGATAGCAAATGCAGCGTCTTAAAATATTTTTCCAAAACTGTATGTCAGGAAACTTGTGAAGAAGGCTCCACGGCCGAAACGTTGTTTTCTTTCTTCTCTTTTCAGCCAGGAATAAACCTATTACTTGTTCCTTTGCAACTTGTAAAGACGATGAGGACCACAGTCACCAAACAAAAAAAACATTACATCAGAAAGACCCCCGGAAACTGATTCAAGGGGAAAATCTTGCAGCTTCAACACATTCTAGAGAAGGTTTATTACTCTGCTCATACTCAGTTAGATCACTTTGAGAACAACAAATGAGAAGACCTAAGATAACTCTTATTTAGCTTACAATTGCCAAAGAAATGTAAGTGAATCACATAGATAAAATGTCAGAGACCTAATTAGGACAACTGATGACAGGCATAGGCCATTTTAATTCAAATCGCATGTTGATGCTTTTTCATCTGAATCTTTTTAAATGAAAAATGTGTGGTAAATTAAAGAAAACTTGAGTGTACAGTAGTGGAAAAATTTACAGTCTAAAAAAAAACACTCAGAAATGAGGCCCATTTTCAAAAAAGCCTGTACCCCCCCCCCCCCTAAAGGATTATAAAACTGACTGCAAAACAAGGACTTAATTGAAGCTGGATATGTCAAAACTGTTGTGTTAATACAGCCCATATTTTACAACAATCCTACATGACTGGAACTAGAGAACAAGTTTAAGACACTCAACCACAGATGTGCCCAAGTCTCTCTGATTGGTGAACATAATGGGTAAATAAATACCCACAAATTTTGCCCACTGTATACAAAGCAATAGTCAAGTAACAGGTCTCTACTGTTGTCTGCTTCAAAGGTCTGCAATAGGTCACTGAAGCAAACATTACTCTTGAGACAGTGGGCTCCTGTTTTTAAAACAGCTCAAGGATGCTTAGTGTCCTAAACCTTCAGAGGTCTTCGCTCTGTAGTATCTACAGTCTCTACAGTCAAGTTCAGCTATAATTTAAAATAGTCCCAATGGAGCTTTTGCTGTAGGTGTTGGTGCTAAATAGTTTTCTTCAGAAATGACTAGCACAAGCCTCTTTCCACACCTCCATGTGCTCATTACTAGAGATTCGCATTTCACCTAGAGACACGTATAGAGTACCTGGGTATACTGGCTCATCTGAGTTCTCTGATTAATAGTTGACCAAGACGAGCATATAGGAGCATTCTTTGCTCTTATATGATAAGCAGTCAAAATAATCCAGCATCCAGCTCTTGAAAGGCTGCCAAGGCAGGTATTGTAAAATACTAACTTAAAACCCTTCTTAAAGTACTGTTTTGAAGATTATGTTCTCTGGTATACAGTACTTTCCTTTCTGGGACAAAAAAATCGAAATTGATCAGAATGCAGAGCATTGAGAATCTTAGCTATTTTCCTTAAACAAGATGGGAATCCTGCACAATGATGACATCTTAGAGCTTTGAAAAAAGGAAAAAGTATGGATGAGAGGCAAAAAAGATTTATGAAAGTGTATGAATCTGAAACAATCAGAAGGGATTGCAGAATATTTTAAGCATAAAAAGCTGACTGACAGATGGCACTGACAAAAAGAGACTGCCCAATGCCTGAAAACATCAGGTAGATTGCTTAACTAAAATTAAAACAATAAATTAGGAGAGAAAAAAGAGAAGTACTGTAAATTGAGATGAATATGGCAAAATATTAAGGAGAAAATAGTGTCATAATATCTGGACTTGTACAGTAACTTGAAGGTTTTGGGTCCAAATACTGGCTAGTCCAAATACTGCTTTTTTAAGCATTTAAGCAACATGTGTCACTCGGATTGCTTCAGTAAAATGGGTACAAATACATAAAAGCAACATCTCAGGCAATAAATTAAAAAAATAATTATTAAGAGATGCGGTTAATTAAATATGAGGAAATGGAAATCTGACTCAAAGAATACTATCCTCTAAATTACTTTTTTCTGCTTCCAATGTTTATTTCTAAAATTGGTGAATAATTATAATGACATGTGACCCTAAAATGTTCTTTACTTGATTAGGACTGTTTTAAAGACATAATTCAACAATTTAATAATTTTTTTGTCTCTGCATCCCGTGGTTCTAATTACTACAGTAAAATGTAAAACTCATAATTACAATATATGCAGAATACTTAGCACATATGATGCGATACCTACTATCACACATCTACTTCTGCTGCAGTTTCTTTAAGAACCATAAGGAACCACTACGGCAAAGTTCTCTTCATCCAATGCCAGCAGGCAACTACAACAAAATCGGTGAGCAACAATGATACAGATAATGCAGTAATAAAAGGAACATGGTTGGATGTATGCAATGTACAGTTTGTCAGAACGTAGCATGTTACTGCATTACTCTCTGAATATCAACTATGCAGGAGTTCCTCTCGATCCTTTAACTTTCAACCACTTTATCCAGTTATATCAGCTGTAAAAGCTCTGTCTTAAAAGGAGTAAGATAGAGATCCCCCACATGACTGAACTGATATCCTGACCAGCACAAGCTGAAAACGCACCCTTCACACATACAGTATGCCATGATCCCTCCCACCCCCACATAGCACATACAAACTACCCTGTCCCAAGCTTCTTCTTCCACTACAGAAATCACCCAGAAACCTGTGTTTGTACAGTCCCATTCACCTTACAACAACACTGGAAAACCATTTGGTCCTTTCCTTCACTGCACAATCATAGGGGATGAAGGAGAGTAAGGGAATCAGTGAATTGATATGATATACCTGTAGCAACTGTCATCTCAAAGGATCCCTAAGAAATTCACAAAGTTGATTGACCACTGAAACATAGCCCCAACCTGGCTGATACAAGGCAGCCATGAACATCAGCAACAACACTACACAGCAGATTAGATAAGATCACTTCATTAGTCAGCCATTTATATGGCGCCCCTGGAGCAGTTGGGGTTAAGGGCCTTGCTCAGGGGCCCAATGGAGTAGGATTCCTCTGCCAGCCACGGATTTGAACCGGCAACCTTCCAGCCACAGGAGCAGTGCCACCGTGACACCTCTCCACCCACAGCCACTGCTCCACCCAAAGTGAGAATTTGTTTCACCAGCTGAATTAAGTTGGGACTTTATGTAGGCTCCATTTTGCAGGACCAGAATA